TACCCATATCCAGCATGGATGAGTGAATCTGGCATTGCAAACAAACCCAAAACAAGGCTTGACCTCACATCTCTGGGGCTGTGTTTGAATAAATTGGCTCACACTGTGACTCCTCTCCCTTTGGTTTCTATTTCAGGCACATTAATTTACTAATCCTCAGACAGTCCTCCATGCAAGGCACCTTAATGCTCTGCTCAAGCAAAGGCTAAATACATAATGCTGAATCCATAGTAACATGAACAGGGCAAAGCAGACCAAGACACTTCTACTTACGCAGCACACACTTCCATTAGGCAACCTCAGCATGAACATGTGAATTCACCCCATTTCTCCAAGCAGTCCCCTCTTCTGCTTATGGTTCAGTTGGGAAGAACGCACTCTGCTAATACCCAGTTTATGGCTCAGTGTTATGTAAATAGTAACTCAATACTTCAGCAAACAAAGTGAAAAAATCCTAATCTGTGTATACCTTTTATGCAGGGAGCAAAGCCCAAGAGAGGCTAAGGGCACAGGGGGAAACAGGGTGAAGACTCCAATTAAAAAGAGTTGCTGTCTTACAGCTCGAAAGCTGAAAGTATTATACACACAATTTTGTCACATTGCTAAAAAGGGTATAGACAGACACCTTTAATTCGGTATGTAATATGTACTGAAGCAGCTCCAGTGACTTTATTCTATTTTTTTCTGTGCAGCTCAGTCTTTGTGAAAGCCTAATGGATTCAAGGTTATACAGTGCTTTACAATTTTGAAAGACTTTGCACTGAAGCTGAGGCTGTAATGAATCTACAGTGGAGAAAACCATCATAATAGTCATTAAAAAGAAAGTGTTTAGTGAAGCAGATTAAATAAATAAAACCAAGTCAATCAGGAATAGTGTGATATGTAGGTGGCTGTTCATCCTGATAGTGATCAAACAGTGATGACATAGAAAAAAATTAATCCTCCTGTATGAGAGACGTGATGGTCTACATTTGCAATCAAGTTCTTAGACATTTGTGCTCATGGTTATGCAGATGCTAAAGCCCCAATGAAGAATAACTGTCATCTGGTGTATATCAGGATGCGGAAGTGAACTCACCTACCCCTGTACTGAATCTAGAAATCAGTAATTAAAAACTAGCTACAGCCTAGTGACTTTCAAACAAGCCAGATGCTCATTTGCTAATTTCATTTTAATATTAATATTAATGACTGAACATTAAAAAATGGAAGAACATCACTGTTTTTTTATGCAAATCATAACAAATAACACCCAGCAAATCGTCAGTCATCAGTCACCCTGTAAGGACCGTGAAGGCCATGACACAGTCACAGTGTGAAACGTGACTGACCCAGTCTGCATTGCCATAGATAGTATTCAGCAAGGTAAAAGCGAGTATCAAGAGGAGATACGTGTCAGAAAGCTACATTTGTCAACTAGTATTACACAGCAATATGACTTACCATTTCAAGGTAATTTCCTGTACTAATTGCTAAACTTATATCTAGATAACCAGAGCGTGAAAAAAATTACTGTGATTGATACGGTATCATGACATGTACAAGGGGTTGCCAAAGAGTGCAAGGTCTCAGATGTGAACCTCATGAGGTTCAACAACAACTGCAAGGTCCTGTACCTGGGTCTAGGTAACCCCCAGTACCAGTACAAGCTGAGGGCTGATGTGATCGAGAGCAGCCCTGCGCAGAAGGACTTGAGGGTACTGGTGGATGAAAAGCTGGACCTGAACCAGCAATGTGTGCTTCCAGCCCAGAAAGCCAACCGTATCCTGGGCTGCATCAAAAGAAGTGCGACCAGCAGGTTGAGGGAGGGGATTCTGCTCTGGTGAGACCCCACCTGCAGTACTGCCTTCAGCTCTGGGGTCCTCGGCACATGAAACACATGGACCTCTTGCGGTGGGTCCAGAGGAGGGCCACAAAAACACTGGAACAGCTTACTCAGAGAGGTGTAGATGCCCCATCTCTGGAAACATTCAAGGTCAGGTGCAGTGGGGCTCTGAGCAACCTGATCTGATTTAGTATGTCCTTGCTCATTGCAGGAGGGTTACACTAGATGACCTTTAAAAATTCCTTCCAAACTAAACTGTTCTATGATTCTGTGATTCTCTGTTCTCTAGCAAATACAGCTTGAAATAAAGTTTGTTTCCTCCTAAACATATTTCTCTTGCATATTAAGTGCATATCTGGAGGACTCGAAGCAAGTCTACAGTCAGAGCACTCGCAAATCCCCTTCATCTCAAGAGGATTTGTACATGCCATATACTGGAATGATCAAACTCAAGTGACATAAAATCCAAAATTTCCAGAGCAGACTCACAAATATACCTTGTGGTCTACTGATAATCGTATACTTTCAACACCAACAGCAGAAGGTGAGGGTAGAGCTGGATGAGGTGCAACTAAATCTTTATGTGAAATTATGGGGACGATGCCTGTCCTGGAATGCAGCAATTTAAGTAATCTGATTTTGTATTTCCCTCTCAGAGCGCTGACTGTGTCACTGACATGGGCATATGTGTTACACTCATCCCTTCTAATGGGGTGACAGCAGGATTACATCTCCCCAGCAGACTAGTCCTGCTAGTTTCACACAGATCTCGACTCACATCGATAGCCAGTGTGTCAAGATGATACAGAAAAGTCACCAGTAACAGCCAGTGATATCAATCACTCCTATAGCACTTCTCTTTCTCTTTCAACTAAAACTAATTTCAAGAGCCCTCACAACAGACGTGTTGACAGCTGAGCCACGAATGGCAGCCTCTGGATTAGTTTGCGGTTTGCATCTTCAGAGGGCAAAATGTTCCACAGGCATTTGGCACAGCTAAGCACAGGCAACGCATTCCCCAGATGGTGATGGGTAAATTTTCACCTTGTTAGAAGTTGCAGCAGGACCTGCTACTTACAGGGGGTCCAGTCAGCCCAATTCCTGGCACGCCTCTGTCTCCCGGCTGTCCAGGGAGGCCAGGAGCTCCCCTCTCACCCTGAAACAAAGGAAGAAATAAAAGGCTTTGTGCACTGTTGAGAAAATCTGCTGAAATGCAATCAGGTTTTACAACAGAACATAACAGTGATAGGTCCTGACCTGATCCTGGCCACAGAAGAGCAGTATCAGATTATGGCAGCGTGGGGATATGGCACAGTTACCATCACATCATGCCGAGAAAACTGTCCCCATCCTTCACACGAGCCCCAGCCCAACTCTGTGAGCACTCACACAACGTCAACGTATGACACATCACATAACCAAGTGGGAACACAGCCTCTACAAGTATTTTAATTTCTTTTAGTGCACAGCATCCAATTTCCAGCGTTTGCAATTGCCTGCAGGGTATCAGGCACTCTCCTTGGCTTGGAGAAACGCTAAGCACCATAATGTGCTTTTCTTTCTCTGTGTTTCTATGGTCGATGGCTAACCTGCAAACATTGCTGAATACAGATTATTTATCCAGAGAAGATGGAATTAGATGTTTGGTTACATCTTAATATCCTCTGTTCCTTCATCAACATAGGCCTACTCACAGAAGCGTATGAATAAATTTTTGTAAAAAAAAAATTCGACAGTTCTGCCACTGTCTCTAGAGGACTATACTACAAAAGGAGAGACCTCCCTTCTAGAAAACAGGATTTTCAATAGTAAAACCTGCAGAGCACAGAGAACTGCTTGACACCGTTTAATGAGCATTGTAGACAGAGTGTTAAGAAAGAATTCAGCTGCAATACTTAAATTTAATGTCTGTTCTCTTGTTATAGGGAGAATTTAAATAAGATTTGTATTGCAGTTGTGAGATTTGTCTCACGTTGGCAGTAGACTTATAACAACGAATCTTATTTATGTTATTTATTAATATACTATTTCCAGCTATATAGAAGCATGATCGAAAAATTGTTAGCCATGGATTCTGCCCACCCAAAATTCAGTCTGCAATATCTCCTAATTTTTTCCCTTTCCTTCTTCTTAAACTAATATTATGTTACAAAGAAACAATACTGCAAGGAAGGTGAGAGAAAATGTATTCTGATTAGTTCAAACATTCCAGCAGATCTCATATCTGTTATTTTATGCAAGAACATAATTTCAGTACAAAAAGTTCAATAGTATTTTCCAATGCACAATTAAGATTCTTGCCATCTTGTGTTGATATTGAATAGAATATTTCATTAAATTTCTTTTTGTATTTTTTTCTGACTTTCATATTAATTCTCAGTCTATTACTGTGTGTGTGTTCTGAACTGCCAAAGATATATACAACAGACTACAATGCATTTATACAGAATGCGGCAAAATGAAAACATTTCGTAGCAGTTTGGTTATTTCAAAAAATAGGGACCTAGATGGATCCAGTCTCATACTGCTATAGTCTTACTTATATCATTTACAGAATCTGTTTCAATATCCCATTATTCTTCCAATCCAGATCAGGACACGGTCATTTCAAAGAGGAGAATTTCTCACACGTCAGATTGAAGATTCAAGCACAATCCAGATACTCCCAGAAGCAAAAGTTTTTGCTGTTTTATTCCTTCCTCTATTTGCTGTGTACTTGCGAGGGAATACACATTACAATTTCAGTTGAAGAAATTAATGTCATTAACGTCATCAACTAGGTAGTCTTTGCCTTAAGTACAATGTAGGAGGGCAAACCAGGACTATCTGGTCCCATTGGAAAATAATTCACATCATCCTTGGAGAGAGGTGAAGGAAATGAGTGCTATGGAGGAGTACTCTTTGAGGGGCTGACTGGCAGTCCTCAAGAGTAGATCATCCTTTAGCTATGCAATGTTTCTCTAGCTGTATGGATTAAGGGTCCCCAGTAGCAGTTTCCCTGAAAAAGTCTGCATTTAGCCTTTAGTCTGGGGCTCCTAAAAGGCTGGAAGTGCATTTTTGAGTGACAGCTTCACAAACTCTCTTTTCCAGTGAAAACCAGACCATGTTTTCACCATAACTTTTTCTCCAGTTACAGCGATTGAGAGAAGCAGGCCACAATAAAGTCCTTGCTCACCTTATGTCCAAAGGGTCCTGGCAAGCCTGGTGGGCCTCTTTGCCCCTAAAGTGACAGAAACAAAACCAGAGAACAGTCAAGTCACCATGCAGACAAACAGGAGCCTGGATTTTAAGGTAGTCAAGGCAGCAAGCGTCCCCACCGCCCCCCTCCTTGCTTCACACCGTCCTGGCAATATTGTACTGATAACATGTAAGGAAATTAAATAATCTGCTAACTTGGCTAAAACTAAATGCTTTCAGGGAACTTCCATCAAGCTAATAATTTTTGTACAGGTTACGGGGACAATGGCTACTCCTTGTGGAGGTCTCCATTTTCAATGGCCACCATGGCACACTGAAGAGGGTTTAATGTTCAGAAATATTGCTTCAGTTCTCTCTACCTTTCTGGATGCAGCACTGGGATCTGCAGCATTTTACACAGCCAGGCTTTTTTTGTCTTCAGGTAAACAACCTGTGAGCACTCGTAACAATGCAGCCTAACTCTGCCACAAATACACCGTTGTCCTGCAGAAGTCATGCTGATCTATCTCACATTGAACTGCTCACGTGCAAAGCTTGCCAGCAGTACTTACCTGTTCTCCATCTTTACCCTTACCAGGCAAACCTGGCTCTCCAGCAGGCCCTGGCTCACCAGCTGGCCCAGGTAAACCCACTTTTCCTTCTTTTCCAGGATCACCCTGTAGAAGACAATCCAGCAGAACTCTTATGATATACCATTCTTGTCTCAGGTCTTTCATTGGGACTGAAAGATACAAGTTTTTTCTAGCCTTCTCATCTGAATTTCTCTCAGTACCACAGGAAAACCTCTTTTACGGGAAGCCTTTTCCTTCAGTAATCTCAAGGCATTTGTAATTTTCCTTGAGGAAGGTAAAAGGAGACTTCAAAATGTTTTGATAACCAGCTACATGAGAGAGATCCCTTGGTCCATGCATGACCTCGAGGTAGATCTCAAGAAGTTGGAAGATGATTTAACTGAAGGGGCTGGGATTCATCCCCTTTTAAACTCCATATATATGCATATATGGGGCCATGTTTCTGATTAGTCATTCCTACTCCAGCAAAGAAAGATCGGAACTCCAGCATGCTGGCCACTGTGCAACATATGAGCAGATTACAAACTTCTGACCTCAACAAGCTTGCTGCTTAGCTGTGAGGTGGGACATAACAGTTAGGCAAGGCAGGCAAGAGGTAAGTGAGGATGCACTGGAAAGCTGAACTAATGGTCCAGTTACAACGGCTTATCAGGAAAGCAGAAATCTGTTTCCTAACCATGGAAGACAGTTCTTCTTCCAGCTTTGTATTTACAGTGATGAATAGGAGGTACTTAAACCACCAAATCCCTGCCCTTGTCAGGCGATGAGGAGAGCAGAAGATCACCATTGCAAAATGTGTAGTAATGACTTCACTGTATCTCAGTGGTTTTATTAGGTAAATTACAAAGCTGCAACAGGGTGAAAACCTTACAGCATGTGTAATAGAGGAGGTCAGACAAGATGATCTAATGAGCCCGTGTGTCTTAACCATCCATGAACCTATGAAATAATTTCCCAGTTCAGACTGCTTCAGTCCTGGGTTATTTAAAATGCCCAAGAAGAAAAGAAACAAATACATAAAAGAACAAACTCACCTTTTCTCCCTTTTCTCCATCCTTTCCTGGTAGTCCAGGGTTTCCAGGTACACCCTGGAGAGAAAAGAACTTTAAAGTTTAAAACTTTCTTTTTAGGTAGTATTTGATCCTAAAGCAAATGGATAGACCTGTGAATTCAGTACAATCTATGTCAAGGATTAGTATCAGTTTTACACTTCCCAGTACAGACTCCTGTAATCCAGAGAACACCACGGAAGAGCTGTGTACCAGGTTCTTAAAGAAATTATTTTTTTTTTCAGTATAAAAAAGAGTTGAACAGCAAAATCAGAAATTGAGCTAATCCCCGATTTGTGCATTCTCCTTCTACCAATAGCTATTTTTTTTCATTCTGTGAAATCCTCAGCAGTTCCTAATCCATTGCCAACAAACCCCCAATCATCACCTCTGTATCAGAGAAGCTAAAAGTCTTACAATATTAAATTTTTATGGCTACTGCTCTGCAAAGCTATACATTGGAAAACATAGCCATGTTCATTTTACCCTCTATTTCAGTTTTCAATCCTTTTCACGTCTTGGCAGATCTCAAAGGATTCCTTGTCAAAATATAGGTGATTTAGAGCTCCAAATTAAATACTATAACTTCCTAACTCACCAAAACAGATTATGGAGTGATACTCCATTTTAAGATGTGAAATGAGGTCTTGGCACCAGTAAAATTGGATTGACCTCCTCACAGGATGGATGCGATAATTATTTTCCTTTTTATTTCCAGTAAAAGTTTTTACCAACTATGTTAGCTTTTACAGGTAATATATTGGTATTACTGGTATAGAAGTTTGCTTAAAGGAGTATGAAATCGAAAAAGGTCTTCATTTTCATTATCATCTTTCAGTTTGAAATTAAACCACTACATTAATATAATTAAATGTATCTTAACAATTAGTAGAAAGGGAATTTAAGATTTCTTGGATTGCTCAGGTAATAAACTCTGTCTTATAGAGCCCTCTGTACTAAACCACTGTGCCTGAATACATTATAACATGGGGTCTAACTGATGTTTTTCACTTACTCCGGTGTAAACCCAGAGAAACCTCAGGCACTAGGAAGAAAATCACACCGATGGAGCAAGGAGTAGAGTTAGTCCAAAGATTTCTTTGTAAACATGGAAAGCTCTATCATACACAACTTGATAATGGTGGTGAACATCTACCGAGGTAAGGAGGACACCATATTGATTTCAAGGCTCTGATTGTAGGATCAAATACTTGCATATTTTCACAATAAAAATGGCCGTTTCCCATGCAATTTTTATATCAAGAAGTCATGTTTTCAAAAGGAAAGGATAAATGAAAATGAGGCAAAGGAAACAAAACCAGAGAAACAATAAACATTGCAATTTTTCTTTTGATGAGCTGGCAACAAAAAGTCTCTCTTGACAGTTTGGTGAGGAATGAAGCAGCTCCATGCTTCCCTCTTGCTACAAATTAATATGAGAATATGTTTCATGGATACCCCATTCCCAAGTCCCTCCAGATCTTTCAATTGAACCATAAAAAAAGTGTAATGAAACACAGCCTTTTGAAGCTGATAGTAAACCCAATGGAAGGGAAAACCAAACATATTAAATAAAGAAATCAGGGCACAGATGGGAAAACAAATACACTGGTGCATACATACCACGTTTCCTGGCAAGCCTCTTGGACCTGGCGGCCCTGCTGGTCCAGTCACACCCTGTTTTAAGAAAATGAAGTGTGTGTGCATATGTAATTCACAACTTGTACAACCATAGGAACAAGATGTTCCAAGTGAGATTAGAGTTCATGTCATACAAGGTGTTGTACAAGCACAAAGCAAAAAATAGCATTTTTGTGAAACACTTTGTAGTGTAAAGAAGCATGAAACAATACAAAATGGATGAAGACTCTTTGGGAGCTTAAAATTACCTTCCATCAAAATAAATCCTAAATCTAGCTGAGATACAGGAAGAAAAGTCTGGGTCTGGAACATCAAAAGAACAGAGGAAAGTATGTTGATTTATCATTAAAACAAAAATCTAGGTCAACAAAATATGCTTTGTTGACAATTCTACCTTTCTCTACTCTGGGGAACAAAACCTGAATACACTCATTTGCACTAAATAGATGGAACAGCACAAGCCATTCAGAGTGTTATAGTTCTGAACTGCAGTTTTTCCCTGTCTGCAAGTGAAAGCTTCTTAGGGTGGGAAAGGCATATGTGCCCCCAAAAATGCATGGGGGACATGACAGGACATGTATTTGGGGATTTATGTCCCCATAGTGATGTATGTTCAGGGTTGCCAGGCTATGTTTAGACATTTTCCTCAATAATTGACCTTATCAGGTTGAAGTTGATACCTCTGTAGTTGCTTGTCACCCTGCACTAGCCAGGGTTCACCTGTCCTCACAACTTTGTAAGGAAAAGGATTTCTATTACCATACCTAATCCATTTAGGGCTACAACAGACAGACTATCTAAAAACATCTGCATCAGCAGATTGACATAATCTGTCTGACTTGGAGTAGAGTACGGAGAAACCCCTTCTACTGGAAGGGTTGAGCAGTAGTATCTTGCATAAGGACAATGCAAACAGTTGGGAGATGATGAAAATCTTCCACAGCACAGCTCTTCACAAGATGAATGTCTATCTGCTGCCTTTCTCTCACTAAAAGAGAATTAAAGGTTTCTTCATTTCTGTGTTATTTACAGTCACTGGTCTATGAGCAAATAGAAACATTTGGAGCAGTGGCAGTCTGTGAAAGGATGGCAAAAAAAAAAGGTGCCTGAAGATACATGCATTTTCATATCATTAACATCCTCTGGGCCACCAAGGTTACACAAAGAAATAAAACCGATGGATAGGTTTAGGGTTTTTTTTTATCTCCCCAAAAAAGAGTAAGCAGTCCTTCAACCAAGAGTGAAAGAGAGCTGGGGACAGTCAGTTTGGAGTTTAGGGTCAAAGCACTGCTAGAGACAACACCTAAGCACAAGCCCAAGAAGGAAAAGCATGAACACAAATGTGGAAGAAATTTCAGTGACCTAGGATGCTTTGTTTGGATTTCCTATTCCCTCCTTCTTCCAGAGACAAACATCTTCTCTCTCAATCATTATTTCAAAGAGTTCGTCAGTCTTCCTTCTCTCTTGCAAAGAAAGTATGTGGCCTTTTATTCAGCCGCAAAGGGCGTATATGCTCTCACAATAATAAAATGGGATTTTAATCCTTTGCTGTTCTTTGCACACAGTCAGACAACAGCAGCACTCCCTACAACACATGCCTCAAAAAGTGGTATGTGATGATTCCTCTGGTGATGAGCCTGTATTAAAGAAAGCAGAATTGACTAAGAAGCCTAAAACCAACTGTGATCAAAAACTAATTCAGGCTGCTGATGAGAAGTGAGCTCCCTGCACCAGCTGGCTGCCTGGGCTTGGCTGATATCGCAGTGCAGTAACAAGCTCTGCCGGCACCTCACCCAGAAAAGAAGATATTTTTTTAGAGAGGGAGAGACTTGACCAACAAAAGATGCACAATTTAGAGCTGGGCTGATTGGGGCATTGATCTGTTTGGTGGAGCTGTGCCTGTTTGCCCGCAAGCAGTGACTCTTCCAGCTGCAGCTTAGGATGTGCCCTGTGCCCGAGCAGCTTGGCGCTGCAAATCTGCAAGACATTGACTTCAGTATCTCTTCAGGTGTGTTGTTGTCAGGGAAAAATGCTGCAAGGGAAGTAGTTACTCACAGTCTCTCCAGGGGCTCCAGCTTCTCCTCGGGCTCCTTTCTGCCCCTTTGTACCCTGTGCAGAAAGAAGAGATACACTAGCTGATTAGAGATGGAATGGGACTGCCTGCCAGACAAAAAGACTTCAAGATGCCTGAACGTGCAGTAGGCAATGGTTTTCGTTAATCAATTCACAGAGGAGTTTAACAGCTGAGGAAATGGCTCCCAGTTCTCTCTGCAGCAAGAAAATGAAATATAAAAATAAGACCCTGAGACATAACAAGAATTACTAATGACTGATCAGCTCAGAGACTGTTTCTCAGCACAGGATGCTGAAACTTGCAGGCATTTATCTGGATGAAACTCCTTCCTATCCTCAGGCCTGCCAGCTACTTCATTTCCAGCTCAACTGTGATGGTCTTTCTGCACAAAGTTTTGCCTGCAGTTCTCAAATACAAACAGCAGCCCTTTAGAAACGGCCAAAATAGATCACGGTCCAGAGGTTTTGTCCCAGTCCTACATACCACGTAGCCCTTTCTTAAGGATTTTGGCAGGACAAGGTCTCCTCACTGAACAGTCCCCCATTTATCAGATGTTAGTTAAATGTTGCATGGTATTACTTGTTTTTTTCATAATACTAAGACTGCTGTTAACATGTTTAAGCTCTTGATGCCCAAGTAGTAGCTAACATATGACCTGGGCACAGCACAGATGATGTCGGAGTGAACACCCTCCCATGTTGACATGAAAACATACCTCAGTGGTGACTGGAAATAATATACATGAGCCAAGAAACTTTCAGAAGATAATTGAGACTGTAAAACCATTTCACATGAGCCATAGTGCATTCAAGGCCAAATAGGCTGGGGTTGAATCTGAATGCTCTTCAATGTTTTGGCAATGTACTGCAGTAACTTATCTGTGAGACCTGTGGTTCAGTGGCATTGATAAAAGATGCTTTCTTGAAGGATCCTTAAGTTGGAACAAGTCTCTCAGATAATCCTGATCATGCTACAGAGATGCCATGTTTCTGCTTTGATTTTCCTCATGTTGTCCTGATTTCCAGCATAAGTAAATACCTTTACAGAAGTCCCTGAACTTAGAACAATGAGGAAGGAGAAATGGGCTGTTGGTGTACAATGGAAGTTATTTACAGTGTTACAGACCCTGAAGGCACCCCTCTCTAGTCATGTTAAAGATTTCCTTCAAGGCTGGGCTCTCTCACCTGTGCTCCTGCAGGTCCTGGGATACCTTGTTCACCCGGGACCCCAGGTAATCCCTGTGAAAACAGAGGGAGAGGTGAAGGAGTTGAAGGAAACTGCTCCCCCCTTCTCCTGACCAGAAGGAGATGTTTCTCCTTCCTCTCACTGAGAGAAGAAAGGGTGACTTTTACAGAGACTGTGACTGCACAGGACTCTGTCTCTCCTGGGGGCTCCATCCAGAACAAGAGCAGTCCAGAATACAAATGGAGCAGCGAAATGCACAATATAGCTGGGCCACATCACTTCAAAAGCCCTTAATAAATCCTGTACAATCTTACTGTCAGTCAAACTCTGTCTAGCAAACCCCATAGTTCTCTTTTCAGCTACTAAGGCCCAGAGCTGTAAATTGGGTGCTAAAATTCATGTAGCGATGTAGCTTCCTCTGCAGTCAATACAAAGCCAAACACCACTGTGACCATTTCTGACAAGAGAAGCATCCCAACTATGGAAGGAACATGTCCCACCCTCTCCCTCCAAAACAGGCAGCTCTTACATCCTCTCCTTGCTAAAGTCCAAAACCAACCGAAGAAACACTTGGCTGTGCTTACAGGTTCTCCGCTCGTTCCTTGATCTCCTTTATCTCCCTTTGGTCCAGGTTCACCCTGATATAAAGCAATAAGACAAAGAGAGAAATAAAAACTATTTCCATGGCTGGAAGTCTCACTAGTCCTGTTTGCTAAGGGGGTTCTTTCAATCAGTTATCCATTTCTTACACAGAGTAGCTTCTTCAAAGGACTTTGAGGTCAGTGAATCAAAACTGATAGCACACACTAAGACTTGGAGATAATTTTCTAGACTTCTTGGACTGTTATGATCATAATTGCAAAAATGTTCTTTTTAAAAAGAGAACAGTTTTCCCTCACAGAGAACAGTAGTTAAAGAATTTACCGTTCCAAAATCTGATCAATTCAACTCCAATGTATTAAAAGGCCAGATGATATGACCAATAGCAAAAGCACCAGCACCACTACACTACCTCTCTGTAAGACCACAGACCTAATGTCATCCTACAGCTGGGGAAATTATCCCACATACAGACAGTTCCCTATCCCATCTATACGAGAGAAGTGTTCAGGGTCTCATGTTGTGCACTTCCAGAGCTGTGCACTACACAGCTTTTCCCGATCTTTAAGTTCTGTTAACACCTCCATACATTCATGCAACTTCTGCTCCCTCCTGCAATGTCAGTACATTATTTCATGCACCACCAACACTGACTAATAGGATTAATTTATTCCTGCTCTTCCTTCTTACAGTAAATTGAAGATGCTTTCAGACAGAAGTTCATCAGCTTTGTTCTGAGCTCTAGAACAATAATCAATAAGTCCATATTTCTGCTTTTTATAAATTGAAAAGGAACAGCACACAATTATCTAACTAGCTGGAATAAACCAGGCACTACATGAATACTCACATTTGTATATTTATATGAACGTATGTATTCATGCAACAGTAATCATTACTTATTCATTATTTATCATACAAAGTGTTTTAATTATGCAATCAAGGAAGAGTAAGAACATCAGTGATTTAAGGTACATAGACACGCAAGGAATAGTGATCAGTCAAAATGCAGAGCCCAAGACAAATCAGCTTGAATTTTATTCACATCAGCTATTTGCCAATCATTTCTGCAACACCTGGGAATTCAAAGTCCATTTGCAAATGATTCTTTAACAGACAAAATAAATGTAAATGCGTAAATATTACTTATGTTTGCATTTATTATACGTTATGAATAAATGTTATCATCTGTGATAAATAATAGGAGCACTTTTACCCCAGAAGTAGCATCCTGTTAGATGGACTTTTAATCAGGCAGTCCCTGATGCCATCTAGTGGCCCTCAGAAAGGTAACGGGATCACCTAAAGTAGTTCAAGCAAAGGGTACTATGCAACAAACCTGTGTGGTTGAGCCTGGAAGTTGTTTTGCATAATAACATTTCAAGCTCTTAAAACCCTTTTGAGATAGCAGAGCCATAAAGCACAGACATACGGCAATAAAATTGTAGGCAGGGATGGTGTTACTGAGTGGCAAGGAGAGCACGTATTAGCAGGGAAAACAAGACTGCAAAGGGAAGAAGTAACTCAACAGGTAAAGGGAGGAAGTTTTTAAAATATTCTCCTTTCTCCCACTTTTTCCTTGATACTTGACTTGCATGATAATACAAAATCTGCAAAATCCCAGGCTAATGTCCTTGCACAGCCACAAACATGGGCAGAGGCAGCATTTCTTAACCCAACCTGCCAGCAAATCTGCCTCCAAGTCCTTCTAAATTTGCCAAACCCACGGCTATCTGCTGAGACTGTTAACGCTGTCCACTACTGCTGCACATTGTGGAGACCTCTGCCTCTGGCAGCTGGACTTAAATCCACTGCCACACACTTTTTCCCTACAGCTCAATGAACAGACATGATGCAGTGACAGCTAACAGCTGCTACCAACCTGGGCCAGATCAGTGCTTACAGCTTCCTTGACCTGCTCTCAGCAGTGTCCTCCTGTAGTCTCAGTTAATGTGTTAGCCATTTCTGTGCCACTTAAAGGAGAGCAAATGCAGTGAGGGCTCAGTTGTGCCCAGCTGCAGAGGGAGACAGAAGGCAAAGTGAGGAGCTACCTCCTGTTTTACTGGTTTTGCCTCTGTCCAGCTATCATACCAGACCACCACTGTGGTTCTCCCATACCCCATCTCCAAGAAATATTTAATGATTTTAACAGACTAGATCAAATAAACGTGAAAAAGTTCCCTGCATCCCATGGAAAAAACTGACCCCTCCCCTCTACTGCCCTCTGCATCAGCAAATTTCCGCAGAGCTCACACCACAGGCTGCACCCAAAACACACAATGGAGCTGCGGTGGTAGGTAAATGGGAGATCAGACTCACTCAGTCAGAGATTCTCTAATTCTGAGCACTTCCAGAGATGTGCACTACACAGATTTTCTACTTTTCTATTTCCTAAGAGCGACAAAGCTAGTGAAAGGCCTGGAGAACAAGTCCTATTTGATCTGTTGGAGGGTAGGAAGGGTCTACAGAGGGATCTGGAGAGGCTGAGGGGAGACCTTATCGCCCTCCACAACTACCTGGAAGGAGGTTGTAGTGAGATGGGGGTTGGTCTCTTCTCCCCGGTAACTAGCGATAGGACAAGAGGAAATGGTCTCAAGTTGCACCAGGGGAGGTTCAGGTTGGATATTAGAAAGAACTTCTTCACTGTAAGAGTCATTAGGCATTGGAACGGGTTCCCCAGGGAGGTGGTGGACTCACCATCCCTGGAGGTGTTCAAAAAACATTTAGATGTGGTGCTTCAAGACATGGTTTAGTGGGTTTAGTGGACATGGTGGTGTTGGGTAGAAGGTTGGACTTGATGATCTTTGAGGTCTCTTCCAACCATAATGATTCTATGATTCTATTCTATGATTCTATTTCTATTACTAAGGTGTGTTTTAAATTAAATTTATTTTTACTAATAGTAAGTAAATAGAGTAATGCTGCTGCTGCCTTTTCTCTAGGCTGTGTTTCCTGTCTCCACCTGTGTAAGTTGCTCCCCGGTACTACACACCACGTCATAACTCAATGGAAAGCAATGGCAACTATTGTGCTTTGGAGAGTGCATGACAACTTTCAGCACCCTGATGGTCCTGCTGCCTCTATAACATAACCCATGACACTCTCCTAAGGCTTATCACCACCTTCTGACACCTTAATTTGTAAAGCTGTAAATCAAAGGTAACTATCCTTACTTCCTCTTCTCTTCCCAGAGCTTGCAACGCTATGTGCAGACCTGTGCTACAGTAAGTATCATCACATTCATCTTGCACATGGAGAAATCCCAATGACCTGACCTGCTGACACACTTCAAGCCTTTAATTCTTTACTATCTTGCAGGTCATTTACAAGAGTAATGTGCTCAAAGCAAAAGAGATAACTCCTTCTATGATTGTAGCACTACAAAGACCACATAAGATGTCATTGTCCTGCATATTTCCTTAGTATATATATTAGCGAACTCCAAGCCAAGGGGAAAAGTGAACCAAAGAAAACTTGTTTCTATTTCCAGTACTACCTCATATTCCTATTTCTTTCCTCAGCCTCTGAAGAACCTGGCATATACACTTTCTTTTCTAATGGCGCTCTTATAGCCTACCTCTGCCATTAATATATGCTGTAAAGCCTACTGATCCTTAACAAGCTTATTCACATACCAGTGGTGTGATCCTATATAATGTCAGATATTTCCCACTATGTGGTGCAAGCACTCTTCATTTAAGAGTCTGGGACAGCATATAGCTGTGTCCCAGCCACAGCTGGCTTGGATGCTGCTGTTACCAGGTCAGCCATGGGCTTCTCATCATGGCCAGTTACAATGGTGAAGTTGCCCAGAACCAGACTCAAGCTGAGTTCTTTACTGAAAGCATCTAAATAACATGGAAAATACTGAAGTGCTGTGTGTCTATCAATCAGATAAAAGAGGTAATAAGCCAGAGGACTTTATTAGAAGTGTTACTTACAGGAATCCTAGGGTGTGGGGTAAAGAAGGCTGTCTGGAAGAGAAACCGAATTGTTAAAAGAAGCATTGCCTATTTTGCTGGAAATGCAAAACTTACATATTCTCCTTGTCGTTACAGATTACACATTCCATATATCCATCAGTAAATTTATAAATGAGTAACTCATTGTAACATCTGGCTGTTTGGAAGAAAGCCCACAAATATCAGACATTTCCTAGAGTATTTGAAATATGAACATAAACTCAAAAACATCCTGTATGTCCCACTGCTGTGAAAAAGCGAACAATATTTAACCTTGTTAACAAAGTTACAGTTGGCAATCTCCTGCTCACTTTTCCACTTAGAGCCATCTTCAGTATTATTAAATTTCCTAACTCTATGGCTGTGCTTGGTGTGTTCTCTCTCTGCTTTGTACCATGTACAAGACGTATACATCTCAACATGGTTGTCTTAGCAATTACATAGTCATCCTGAAGGACTATCCACTAAAAAGGGAACAAGTTTTGTAGAGAGAGGCAGTATTTTTAATCAAAACTGATAAAATTAGGAAGAAAAATTTAGTCCTTGATGAAAAGGGGCTATTTCGAAATCATCACCTGTTTTTACAGCTGAAATAGAAACAATTTCTCCCTACAAATACAGGAAGTTTGAGCAGTCAGGCATATCTTCTCTATATCTAGTCATGTTTTTCTATGTTTGTAAACTGCCTTCTCCACCTTGACTAAGACAGATTTATCCTTGGTGTTGTGACTGGATCAGTCTTGTGTGATGCACATAGAGTCTTCCTACATGATACCATTAAGCACCCTTTGGCACAGCCTAAAGAGACCCAACTAATGGCAGGGAATAAATTTTAACACCTCCTCCATCACTGCATGAAGGTCTGTAGGCACTGTTCTTCCTGGAAAAAGGTGAATTGTTCCCCAAGAAGACAAGCTACTGTTCACTGTTATCTGTTCAGAGCCAGTCTAATCCTGAGGTCTTAGTTGGAAAAATGTAGCTCATCCTGGAAAATCTGTTTGAACACACTCCCTGTTTTCAGCCATGACCTTCTTCAGACAGCTCCCACAGTTGCTAAACAAATCACAAATTCAATCTAAGTGCTACCACAAGGCAAGGGCATACAAAAAATGCTGTTTGCAAAGAGGCAGAGGAGGGCACAACCTCCCTCAAAAATAAAAAGACCCAAACCACCTTGATGTTGCTTCTCTGAAGCAAGGGCAATAATCTCAGAGTAAATGCATCCTACAGTTTCTGCAGAGAAGTAGGGATCTTGAAAAGCTTTGTTTCTGAGGAATTTGTGTGGAGCAAGTGTGGTGATGCCTTAAATATGGTTACAGCACAGAACACAATCTTACTTACTGTTCCAGGTAAGCCTGGTGCTCCAGGGGAACCTGTGTCACCCTAGAGAGAGGATAAAAAAAAACCCTAAGGATATAAAAAGATGCCCAAATAAAACTCAGCATTATCAGCTAGAAGATGCAACTTTACCAGATGAGATGTAACCCAACGACAACCTGTCATCTCAGTGACCCTGGAAATCCCATAGCACTTCTCTAATGGGTGGAATTTGCCCCCTTGCTCTGGCCAGAATTTCTGCTGTCCTTGCTTTGTTGCATACAGGATTCTCACTTTGCTGTCTTTATCACTTTATGACTTTATCATTGATCTGACTTCACAGGTCAATGAATTTCTAATGTTGCCCCATCCAGTGTAGGAGTGATACGGAGTTTAATTTGCAGTTTAAGATAAAGTTGATCGAAATTCTTGATTGAAAAACATGTTTTAGCCAAACTTCTTTCATGGATGGAAAAAAAAATCCTCTGTTTTTTGTAAAAAAATATAAATTTCTAAACCAGTTCTTGTCCTCCATAGATGGTGAAAGTCACTGATAAACTGAAGGTGATGTATCCTAGGAAGAACAAAGTGGTACTCACTTCCTGACGGCTATTACTATAACGAGGGCGAATTTTTCACTATAGAACCACAGGCATCTGCAAGGTCAGTGCTTCATCTTCACCTTCTTGTTCATAGTGGTTGAATGTAAATTTTGGTGGCCATCACCTTTGTCTGGTTCTCTCATTTTCACTAAAATTTATAATATTGTGATGGCAGAAGCCCAGACTATTCCTTAAATTATTGTTGTAGCACATCACAGGTAGGCACAGAAAAATGCTTTAGAATTTAATTCCAGATTCATTTCTATAAGACAATTTTAAAACTAAGAAAAGTTTTCTTGTATTAAAGAAAATGTCTTTAGATTTCATCAACTGCTTACTATTTCTTGCATTACTCAAGAAATTGTTGTCTCTGTCCCACACACAGCTTTCTCTGCTGCTTCTCGATAAGGCTCAGCTAAGAGACTTCTGATGTTTCTAATGCTCCTCAGACGTTCTCCTCTATCATTTGTCCCTGTGCTCTTGCCTCTTTTCCTCTCTTGTCTAAGGAGGAGCACGCTCACTTCATGACTCACCTTTTCTCCTCTTTCACCTTTCAGTCCTGGGAGACCATCTTTTCCTTTTTCTCCCTAAAAGCAGGGAAATGAAAGCAGGAAATATGAATGTTTTGATTTGATTGCATCAGTCCCACTAGAATATTTTACACTTTCAGTTGATCTTACCTGTCTTCCAAGATGTAGTGCAAGCAATTAAAAATGTAACATTTTGGAGATGGCTTCATAAAATCCACACTATTTTCAAAAGCCAACAAATAGCAATTAAGTTCATGGAAAGGAAAGCACCAATCCTAAATCAGTTTGCATATAGAAGATCCTACTGCCTGATGCAGTTATAAAAACTACATTTTTTCTAGTTGGACAAGAGAGGCACCAGAACAGGAGTTAAGACCCAAAGTGCACATTGATTGTACCAGTTTTGTTTATGTTAAAGATTTCTGAATCTGTTGCCTGCCTCTCTATTTTGCCCCAGTAACGTGGTCATCTGAAAGGCAGACTCTTAACAAGGACGATGTGAATACTCCTCACATACACAAAATGTGTTTATCCTGCATTCAAATAGGAGCTATCTGGACAATATTTCTATGATTTTATATATAGAGACAATATATTCTATAAACTATGCTCTACAATACATATAATATAGCAAACCAAACAGTAATACCTCAGTTGATTTTAGATCCTTCTTGCTCACATTCAAGTGTTCAAGTTATCAGGAGTACAGGACTCATTTACATGGTTAGATTTACTGCCAGGCCCCTGATCCAACTATTTCTCAGTATGTAAATGCCTCTGGAGGTCTGGAGCTAGCCAGGGGAAGCAGTAGAGATCAGTGGATGGATCAGATGGATGGAAGTTAGGTCGTCAGAAAATGATCCAACCGCCTGAAGCCTTCTCCGGGGCTCAGTGAAAAGGGGCATTTGTGATTTTTTGTTATTAATTTTTTTTAATATTCTTAAATCAGGCAGGTATTTCTGAAAGTAAGGCCTAAAGACCACTGTACCTCTTCTACTGCCTCATGAGTCATAACCTTCTGCATTTAGGATAGACACTGTTCATTGACACCTCAATTTGGAACACTGCGATTAGGAACAGTCACTGGGCAGTAAAGTACCTTTTTGGAAGGGGTACTTGGTGACCTTGCTGGATGCCAATCAGCTGCTTACCACAGCGATCGCACCAAGAGAGAACATCATCTAGGGACACTCAAGATAAGTCCTTCTGTCACCAAATGGCCAAAAAAATATCAAGCTGTGGCTCAAAGTTACTCACCTGGTCTCCTTTTTCTCCTCTCAGTCCAGGTAAACCCTGAGGACCAGGGAGACCTGCTTCACCCTGAAAGTAAGACAAAGAAGTTTGTGAAACCTGAGAAGAGACATCAAGCATGGCTCCTATTGATAAATCCGGTAACTCTCAAATATAATTAAGAATGAAAAGGCAGAATGGTGAGCCAAACTCTTCTCTCACTTACGTCAGTTAAAAATGCATCGAGTCTGCTCCTCAGTGTAGGCTAATCTAGCCACAGTGCCCTTAGGCTGGAAAGGATGAAACCTTGATTCAGCTGTCTATCTCTTTGCATATCTGATACTAGACTATGAGTTGTTCAGAACTCATAATGACTGAAGATGTTTTCTTCTTGTAACCTAATGACACCGTGATACATATGGTCTATGCTGTAGGACAGAATCTGCCCCAGTTTTTTCATGGGATTGATTATACATGTGGTTTGCTGAGAGAGAATGGGATTAGTTTGATTACCAAATAATTTCTTATTCTTGGAAAATCATTACTTAAAAGAGCAACAATGAACTCCCTTTTTTTGCTGTTACACTGTTAACTGACACCGTGGAATTAAGGACATGTTTTCCTCCTGCTGCTGTGTAGCAGGACCAAGCAAGCAAACAAAAGCAGCTTAAAGAATTAAATCTAACTTTTATTTTCATTTTTAATGACCTGATGTAGTCTGGAAATGCAAAAATTGCACTGTATTAATCTGAACAGTACAGATGTTGCCTGATGAACAGATCTAGAATTTTCTGGGTCCACTATTGCACATTTGGATTTCTTTCTGTTTGAACCTTACCTTTGAATTTCTGCTTTACAATAATTGCTCCTGGAGTAATTATGATCTCTGTGTCATGTGATTTGTTCTAAATATATCAAATATTCTCAAATTTAGTTCCAGGTTGACCCATTTTTTTATCTGAAAATAACTATATGGTTTCCTATTTATAATTATTCTGCTATCTGCGTTTGTACTGCAGTATCACAAAGGATCTCAGTCATGGACAGGATCCAAATGCACTAAGTGCTGTACGAGTACTGAACAAAGAAAAAGTGATCCCTGCTTTAAATATATTATCTCTGAAGTCCAGGAAGAGTCAAAACATTATCATAGTATAGATGCACGGAGTCTGCAGAAGAAATCAGGTGAGGAACAAGATGCTGTGATATCTGAGTATGACTAGGAACATCAGAGTGATGTTTGAAGAATTCTGAAAACAGTGACATTTGGTGACAGAGGGAATGGTGCTGTATGAGAGCCACTGCAGGATCCTGGCTGATGGTGAGATCCCAGAGATCATGAGGACAAACAGAGGGCCTAACATTAAGAAGAGAAAAAAGAAGAATTTGGAGGAAAAATAAAAATATGTGGTGTAACTTTGGCCCCTGGAATGATACTGAAGCAAAATATCAATAAATTTGTATGAGCTCAAGGACAGAACAGGAATACAAAGCAGCCAGTACGGATTTGTTAAAAACTAATCATGTCAAAACCATCCAGTTCCCTCCCTTAACAGAATAACCAAGCAGACAAAAAGGAAGCATTTATGTAATGCCTCTCGACACTAGTAAGACATCTGACACAGGCCAACATGACGTTCTCATTAGCAAACTACAGAAATATGGCATAGAAGAAGGATGTCTGAAGGATGATAGAAGAAACTACATTCACACACCTGTTATTAGCTGTTTACTGTCAAATTCAAAGGATACATGAAGTGAAGTCCTCTAAGGCTCTGCACCATCAAATCTTTTAATTTACGACTGAGGTGACAGAAAAGAGAACATTTAAGAAATGTGTGGAGAACACCACAATGCAGAGAGAGAGAGGCCAGTTTTGGAAGGTGTCATTAGAATTCAAAACAGCCCGGTGTGAAGGGACGGTCCAGACCAAGTGGCAGCACTTTGGTCAGAGGTCTGACCTTTCCTTGCACTGGGCCCAAGCTTGCCCAGCAACTGCAAGCCCGGCAGTTTGTTTGCCCAGCAACAGCAAAATGACATCGCTGGGCGATGACCACTGGAACTACCCGTGAAGGGTAAATAAACAGCTCCCTGATAGCCCAAAGCGTGCGCTCCTAAGGAACAGCTGTCCCATGCCGTGGTGATTTCCCCTTACTTGGAATGCCAGGTAAGGATACTTTCCTGGGAATTGAGTGATACCTGTTAGGTAGATTATAAGGAATTTTGGAGTAGAATCAGAATAGTCCCCACTTGCAGGGGGGTATAATTAGCTAGTTAATAAGTCCCTTATCCCAATAAACCTCACTTCATACCTCGGGCTGAGAACCTTATTCCTTCAAGGGGTAGATAGAGGCACGGGTTCTGACTGCGACACTGTGACAAATAGGAAAAATGGTCAGCAATTCCTAAAATGTAATGATAATTGAGAGACTGCCACAGCTTATGGAAAGCTGCTATATGAGATTCCTCATGGACAGCTTCTTCCCTTACTCCCTCTGAGTCCAGTTTGTGGTGCATGTTCTGCTTTATTGCAAAAGACAACATGGGAGCAGAGGTCATCACCATTCTCCCATTTCATCTTTTTAGCAGAAGATTGGACTGAGACTAGTAGGAGTAAGAGAAGCCTGAGGCTCTAAGACTCTTCCATTGCAGGCGTATACTCTGTACCCCAAAATTCTAAGATGTATGCCAAAGACACAAGATTGTCTTATACAGATTTCTCTTTCTATAGATTTTTATACTACAGTTGAAAAGTTGGCATGCGGATGACAACGTTAACATCAGTGGTTAGTGGTCCTGACTGGGCTTTAGACAACTGTGTGCTTTAGGAAATCGCAGGACACTTCCCTGGTTCTTCACTGAGTTCAGGAGTTGTCTGCTGAAACCCAAATCCCAACACAAAAAGACTAAGATAACTATGTAACTTCTAACAGTCATTTGGGGTTATTTCCTAGCAAGCATTTACAACTTAGAAATGACAGGAACACCCCTTGCATCAGATAGTTACAAGTAAGTTCTTCATCTTCTAGAACCAGCACCCCGGGTTAACATGAGGTGTGAAGGAAAACAAGCACTTTTAAGCCACGCTGCCTTCCCTTTCTTCCACCAGGAACAAGATGATTGAATTTCCCTGGATACAATGAAAAATTTGATTTAGCATATTTTTGCTCTGGAATTTTTGCATTACTCTGTCCAGCTATGAGTCTCATCCACTCATTTGTTGCATCTTCAGTCACAGATGCAAATGATTTGCATGGAATTCATCATTGGTAAATGGTTTTGTTATTGCATGTGGTCACTTTGTGTCACTCTGACAGGTAGGCCTTGCTGCTAAGACTATTTTTCTTGCTCACCTGCTCACCAGGTTGGCCACGACTCCCTGGTTCACCCTGGAAAAACAAAAGCAAAACATCAACATTTCAAGGACCTGACCTCTTTGTAAGAACACTTTCCTATTAGCAAAGTCTGTCCCCTATGGTCCTGGCCCGCGTTCTTCTACCTGCTTCTCATAGGATACTGAAATTGCCTTCTTGATGGCTTGGGAACCCAGACCACAGGGAGCCAATGCAAGGGCCAGGTCAGATGCCCCTATACATTTAGACTTGAGAGAGGAGCATGAAACAGTGTTTGGTATTTTGAAACATCATGAACTCTGAGAGGCAATGAGCCACATCTGCTCATCCTCTTATGTCTTCAACTTTAGAAGAATCTTACTCTCCTGTCTTCAGTGTAAGCCATTCCAAAATCACTCCTTGATTGACTCAATGGCTACAGCAAACTATGAAATAAAATACCTTACCTTAGGGCCAGCTTTTCCAGGAAAGCCTGCCTCACCCTTTTCCCCTTGTTCTCCCTGCAGGGAACACAAGAAGTTATACACAAACTCCTCTGGTAGTGCAGCATGTTTGCAGGCAACAGTGAAGAATATTTTGACTCAGATCCTCAGTATCAGCCTGAGGATGTAAATGGAGCCATGTGAGAATCTGTCTCCCAGAATGTTTTTCCATTCTAGCGCTATTTGCAATCACGTCTCCAGCACCTATCACCCTTTTGGAATATTTCTGGAATAACAGAAAGTCAACCACTGTTACATTGAAGATGTCCATAGTGAGTTACCTGAAAGACAAAAACTTCCATTCAGTTTCTTCAAAATATAGGTGGTTTCTATTGAGAAATAATTGTAGGATTGGGACCTTGGCCACCAGGTGTCTTAGGTAAATTCTTTAAAACTGATCTTTCAATGCAGGTGGTGTCAGCATGGAGAGCAGAGACGGCAGTGAATTAAGAGGTGAAACATGCTACATAGCTGGGCAGCACAGCAGGTACTACACAGGGCTGTGGATAAGATCCTAAGATTTATTTAGCCTCAGAAATTCATTATAGGCTCCAAATTCCTCACCTTTATTCATCGAGGATTCTGCTAGACCTGGCCTCAAGCACTCAGTGCACTTAGTTGAGAGAGGCAAGTATAGGTGTAGTGTGTTATTGGAACAAGTAGAGGCCATAGTACTCAAGTATCAGAGACAAGAAGGTTGCTGCCAATGCAGTCCAAGGCAATAGATGGTTAAGAGCTGTTGTCCTTATTCCAATATAGTGTCATCATCCCCAAAGCCTAGCTTAGCCTTTATAGTAAAAATATGGCACATTTCTTTGATGTTTGTTTACATAGTGAAGACAAGTCAAGCAGAGTGTCTCCTACCTCTAAATCTCCTGTCTCCTTTCTCCTACTGCAGAGACAGCAAAGGAGACAACTCTTCCCAAACTGTCATTTATAGAAGCTAGTAGCTACTTTATATAAGTAGTAGGAAATAATGAAGAACAATCTTTCTGCCACACAGACCTACAGAAGCCTTAGGGCGATGGTATCTCTTCTTTCCAGCCCTTTAGGGAGGAAAGAAAGGAATGACTTTGGAATCTACCACTCTTCTTTGTGCCTTGGACACATGCCATGACTTGCCAGTGTCACTGGCTTTCCTGGGTGACAGTAGAAGCTTCTCTGTTTGCAATGCTCAGCTGTGTTTGCCAAATTGGACGCAGTGGTCAAAGACTGGAAGAGGATCTCTCATCCCTGCTATATTTACAACCAGCTCCATCTTCATAACGACTCAGTCCAGTGCAAACACACCAGCTGACTTGACCCTGGCGTTTCACTGGTGGCTCAGTGACGTGGGATTGGTGAGGTGTGCTTGGCTCTGGAGGACTGCTCCCCTTCCCGCTTGCACTTGCTACCTCACCCAGATAAGCTGCCCAGGTAAGTAAGTGTATGTGACATCACTTACCTTTTGACCAGGAAGCCCAGGAAGCCCATTCAATCCATCTTTGCCAGGCAACCCCTAAACAAGAGAAAATCATAAGCTATAAGCACCTGTTCTTTAAATCATTAACAGCAAGCTTAGCATAAGCACGCTCAGTTCATCCCTCTTGCCACTGAACTAAGTTTAAGAAAAGAAGAAACACCTCATGCATTTTGTTTTGACTTTTTCCCTACTGTGACTCAAAACATACAAAAACTCTCACAATCTGCTCGACCCTTTTTCCAGTATTCCAGTTTTGGTAAATGACCACTCGATGTCAGTGTTGTTACAGAGAAACAACAGTATAGAGATTTCATGCAGTGTGGATTCTTTAACTTTAAAAATTACATTTTTACTTATCATTCTTTGTAAGTCTCTGTTATCTGTAGCTATAAAGATTTTTTAAAAATCTATTTCTCCTTTTAAATACTGGTAATTTCTTACACAATACATAGACTCCTAAAATTAAATTATACTACACAGTGACAGAATTGTTCAGCAAGATAAGAATTGAAATTACTTCCTGTAATGCATTTAAAATGGCAAGAAAAAGTTTTGTCCCCTTTTTGAGTTTCAGTCCATCCCCAAACACTGCAGGCTGTAGGTGGCACTTCTTAATAGTTAGTATTTCATAATTCATCCTTCTTCTCTTAGCAGCCAACAGAAATTGCTATGCTCTGCTAAATCTGAGATTTTGATTTCAGTTCTTTGGTCTAATTCAGGAAACTCCAGGTTTGGAAGAATAGCATGTTGCCAAACGCAAAGTAACTTTTGAAAGGTATCATACAAAGAAAAAACATCCCAGCGTGTAGGAATAGTGAAGCTGCATCTGTTAAAATTCTTCTTCATAAAAGGTATCAGAGGCTGATGTCTGTATTAAAGGTGACAGTGTTGGAGCCCACACTAAAACTTTGTGTGCAGATGAGTCGCAGGGAAGGAGAGAAAGACTTGAGAATTAAAGTATCTGAAGTCATGGAGAGCACGGAAGCAAAGGAAGCAGTTCCTCAACACTTACAGCTGGTCCCGGTGGTCCGGTTTTACCGGAAACTCCAATCTCTCCTGACAGTCCCTGAAAAATGAAATCAGAAGAAAAAAGAAAAATTATTTCTGTCCTCTGCAGCAACCTCACTGGAGGTTGCTGCTTTCAATTTAAAGGCAATTTTCCCTTCCACAGCAGTCAGGTCTCTCCTGCAGGGAGTGCTGTAGATATTGACTTATCCCCAGGTAGCACTGATATGGTTCCAATATTTGGCACGGAGAAGCAGTCCTCTAGGACTAGCTGTGGCTTTTCAGTGAGAAAATATAAGAGAAAATACACATTGCCAGAGGTCCTGACTCAGTTCCCACTGAAACCTGTGACCTAAAATTCTCCCAGCTGTTTTTTCTTCTCCTTGATACAAAACAAGACCCCCCGCCAAGCCTGTTTTCTTACTGGTGCTCCAGGTGGTCCAGGGGGTCCAGCAATGCCTGGGGGCCCTGGAGGTCCCTGTAAGACAGGAAGCAAAACCAGTTTATCAAACTCTCTGACAGTGGCTGAAAGTCTCAGGTCCTTCCCTGTGCAGTAGGGGCCCTATTTGAAATGGGCAAAAGCACCAAGCTTTATTTTATTAACTTCTACCAAAATAATGCAAGATGCCAAACTGAGCTCCAAGGGAATGATGCTCAAGAGCAGAACAGGATCTTCTACTTAAGCCACTAATTACTGTTGCTACAAGGTGAGGTCCATCCTCCACTCCAGTACAAGGGACGGAGGAGTTGAAGGCCATCAATAATAACATAGAACAGAAAGTTTGTCCACTGGAATCCCTTATAGCATCCAGCCCAATTAAATCTTGATTAATGTTGTTTCAAAGTGAACAATTTACCTCTGCAAAAAGATCTCTGAATTAAGTAATGAATGAACAGGCTCGTTGATTGGACTTTTTTTTTGGGG